GGGGGGGGGGGAGGGGGGGTGAAAGAGGAGAAGAGGGGAGGGATGCTGGCACCGGCATCGGAGGGATGCGTCTGCCAGGCGGGGGGCCCTTGGGCTCTGCAACATTGGTGGAGAATCCACGTGAAATGCACCCGCCGTGTGGACGAGGAGGGGGGAGGGAGCAGGATGAAAACTCCCTTGCCAAAACGAGTATAATTACCCTCCAGCGGCCCATCCCCTCCTTCCCCTGTATTCAGCCGCCAGTGCCCGATTCGTGCCCCCCCCCCCCCCCCTGCACACAAAGATCGGCTAGAGAGCGAAGCCCCCCGTATGCAGCCGCGTGCCTGTCCAGTCCCCCTCTTACTTTTCGCCTGGAGCAAGGGGTGTAGCCCCACCACTTGCTCGCCTTGAGGCCATGGGCTCGCGGCGAAGAAGACTGTCTTACACTGACACACACACACACACACACGCACACACAGAAAAAGGCGAAGGTAGGGAGTTCGGCATCCAGGAAGACAGGCCAAAACGAGCCGAGAGCTTCGCGTGATCGATGGCAGAGCGTGTCACATGAAATATGTCACCTTCGCAGGCAGCTGTGGAAGTGCCGGCGGATATGCGGCGATGTACATTGGCAGATCTATATTTCGGGCAGCGCAGGATGCGGAGGGACGGAGGTGGTGTGAGGAAGAAAGAGAGGCAACAAAGACCACTGCCGGTCCAGCCAGGCATCCTTGCCTTCCATGCCAAGGGGCAGTGCGCCAGGGAGGCTCTCGAGGGAGACCGGGGTCGGGGGAGCACAGCCAGGAAAGGGGAAAGGGGAGATAGCAGTGAGCGGGAGGGGAGAGGCGGTGTCTCACCGCTTGGCGGCAGAGCGCTTGCCCTTGCGGGCACCACCGCGGGCTGAGCCGGGACCCTTGCCACCCTTGCCGGCCCCGGCAGGGGGAGCCTTCTGGCTCATGCGGTTGCCACGCTTACCAGTGTTCTTGGGGTGAATGCCGAGGCGCTGGGCCGCATCGGCACTGACGCCACGGACACTGGCGAAAGGCATGCGCGGAGCGGCCACCGACTCAGAGTCACTGCCAGCCTCGACCGAGGTCGGGCGGCGCGCGTTGCGAGCGGCCGGCATAGCACCGCGGGCGAAGGTGGCACCACGTGTAGCCTGCGCGGCCGCGGTGCCAGCAACGGCCGCAGCCGCCATGGCACCCGTCGCACGCATATGCATGTGATGCTCTTCCGAATCGAAGTCGGAGTCAGTCAACCACGGATCGTCCTTGTCACGCTTGCCACTGACGCCATCCTCCACACCATCCTCCGTGAGGCCAAGGAGATGGGCAGTTTCGCGCTCGGCCCGAGTCAGGGGCATGGTGTCGAAGAAGGCCTCGATCTCGCGCTGGCGGCGCTCGGCAGGGCTTTCCTCGGTGTCCGACCCGTCCGCCACATGGTCAGAGTCGACGTCACCCTTGGCCAGGGAGGCTTCAAGCTTGCCAAGGTCGACCCCGGTATCGCGTTGGAACTGAGCGAGCATGGAATCCAGCGACTCATCCCCATCATCAGACACCTCGATGTCCGAGTCGTCGGAGAAGGTCAGCACAATTCGATTACCCCCGGACTTGGCCCGGTCCTTGGCCGCATTGCCGAGAATTTCCTGCAGATCATAGGTACCGGAGACTGGCTGCTCCGGGTCAAGTAGGTGGTCCACCTGGGCATAGCGATCACCCAAGTTGGCAGCATTGTTTTTGGATGCGCCACCGGTTGTGGCCGCGGCGGCGGCGGCGGCGGCGGTGGTGGCGGCGAGCGAGCCCGTTCTGGCGGCGCCAAGCTGCTGGAGAAGGCCACGGTCACTCGTTGGCTCATAGGGGACCACTGGAATGTCGGACACCTCGCGCGACTTGGCCGAGATGTTTCGAACATGGTCGCCCGGCTTCTGGCCGCTGAGCTTCTTCTTGTAGCGCTCGATGGTGTCGGCGTTCTCCTCGGGCGTCCAGCCGAGCGGCTGATTCTTGCGGATGGCGTCCTGTTTTGCCGCCCCCCCCCCCACAGTAAGAGAAGGATGGCGAGGGAATGATTAGCCACGGGACAGGGTAGGAGAGGGGAAGAGGAGGGAAAGAGAGAAGAGCCCAGGGATAGGGGCAAAGCAGGAAGGAAGCGACAAAGGAGGGCGCGAAGGGGGGGGGGGGGCGGCGGGAAGAAGAGACAATGCCTCATACCTGGATGGCCTGTGCCAGGGCTCGATCCTTGCGACCGATGAAGGAGGTCACTCGGCCGGTGCGCCCAGCGCGACCGGTACGCCCGGCCCGGTGGATGAAGTCCACCCCGCTGGCCGGGAAATCATAGAGAACCACATGGGTGGCGGCAAGGGTGTCGAGACCGCGCGAGGCGATGTCCGTGCACACCATGCCAGCCACCTCGCCGCGGGCGAAGGAGTCGACTCGCCGGGCGCGCTCCTCCAGCAGAAGGTCACCATGGACCTCGGCAAAGGGAAGCTTCCGGTCGTTGATCAGGAAGTGGGACAGGGCATTGCACCCCTTGAGGGTGTTACAGAAGATGAGGAACCGATCGTCCGGATGCTGCTTCAGCAGGCCCAGCAGCTGGTCGTGTTTGGAGCTCCCATGTCCGGTGATCGGGACAAAGGAGTAGTGCAGCCGCGGGAGGGACTTGTGCAGGGTGTCCGTGGTGACGTGTTCCACCTCATCGCCCTTGGGTGCATTGGCGGGACTGGCGCTCGTCGAGTTGGAGGCGGTCGCATTCTTGGTCTTGGCCGCCTTGGCAGGCTCGGGTTTGGTGTCGCCGGGCTTGGGCCCGGTGAGCGAGCGATTGGTGGTGAAGTGCTTGCGAATCAGTTCGTCAACATGCTTCGGCAGGGTGGCCGTGACGGCGATGAACTGGAACGGCCGGGGGGTGGTCTTGCGATGCTGGATGCCGCGCATGTGAGAATGTCAATGGCCGAGCTACACCGATGGAGGAAGGGGGAGGCATCGCAGTGGGGACGCACGCGAACGGACAGGAGGATGGAATTGAGATCCTCCTCGAATCCCTGGGAAAAAAGGGAATCCGCTTCGTCGAGGATGACAAAGCGAATGTCCGCGAAGGAGAGGAGCCCTGCAGAATGGGAAAGACGGGGGAAGCAATGTCAGCCGGCGGGTAAGTAGCACAGCAAGGAGAAGTAGCCGAGTGAAAAAGGATGAAGCCAGGAGGAGGAACGACGCACCGCGCTTCCGGTAGTCCAGCAACTTTGCCGGAGTTGACACGATGATGTCAACAGGACGCGAATTGAGTGACCGCCGGTGGTTGGCGATCGGCTGGCCGGCCAGCCCGGTGACCGTGAGTCGCGCATGGAGGGACAGTTCCTTGGCCACTTTCTGTTCGAGCCGGTGCGCGTCCATGCATCTTGCGGGGTCAGTGGGAGGATCATGCCCAGTGCGCCACGATTGCTGCCGGCACTGTGGAGCAAGGGAGAGAGGGAAGAAAGAAAAAAAAACATGTCCAAACGTACGGTGACCTGGAGGACAAGTTCGCGACTGGGAACCAAAATGACCGCGCGGGGGCGACCCTTCAGACGAAGATCAGGCAGGGTGACCAGCGGCGAGTTTAGCAGCGCCGCATGCTCCTCAGTCAGCTGCGTGGGATCCAGCTCGTCCAGATCGAGAGGCCCAGCGGCGTCACCATGGAGCTCCCGGCGCAGGGCATCAACACCACGCTGGTAAAGCTCCTCCTCATTGCGAAGCTGCTGGAAGATGGGCAGCAGATAGGACAGGGTCTTGCCGCTGCCTGCGTTGAGCAAGGTCAGAGGGAGGGAGGGAGAGAGAGCAGGGGGAGGAGAAGGGGGGAAGCGGGGGGACGCACCGGTTTCGGCGGCGACAATCAGGTGCTTTTGCGGTTGGATCTGGAGCGTATGCTCGGGAGAGAGGTTCATGCCCTTGGCAAGTACATCGAGCAAGGAAAGCTGCGAAGCGCCGCCGGTCGATGTTTCCGCGGATTTGTCGCTGTCGACATCGTCGGAGGAGGTGGCCGCGGGAGAGGCAGCCAGCACCGGGAGGTAGGGCTCACTGGCGAGGATCGAGGGGATTGCGGAGCGCTGAACCGGCAGCGGGGGCGCTCGGTCGCTGATTCCAACGCCCTTGTACAGGCCGTCCAGGATCTCCGGACGAAGGCCCATCGAGTGGAAGTGCCGGGAAACTCCGGACATGATGGCCGCAGCGGCGGCGGGGCGGGCTGAAAGAAGAGCCGTCCGGCCGGCCGCCAGCCGCGGCGCGGTGGCCAGTGTCCGAACAAGTCGGAACATTCCGGGGGAGGATGGAAGAGGGAGGGGGGGGGGGCGGAGCGCACAGGAAAAGGGGGATAAGGGGGGGGGGGAAGGGCAGGGTGGAAGGGGGAGGGGGGGAGGAGAGCGGGGCGCGATGATCACTTTTTTGTCGTGGGGACTTGGCCCCGGGCCCACTAAAGCAACCTCTCCAGGGTGTAGATTCCATCCGGGAGCCGAGGCAACGCGGATCGGCGTCAGCCGGCAACACGGCATGTGAGCCCGTGGCACGTGGCATCAGTGATCGGGTCGCGCCCCCTTTTCCCGGGCCCCAAATGCCACCGCACCCACTGATCGATTTCGGCCGTCGTTGTGCGTGCGTGGATGCGTGGATGCGTGCGTGCGTGCGTGCGTGCGTGGACGCGTGCGTGCGTGTGCGTGTCCGGTGTGTCTGGGACCACAGCCAAATCAGTGCAGTCTTATCCAGCACACTGTTCCCGGAGCTGGTGGTATTTGCTGGCGGGTCGGGACGCATGGTGGCGGTGGCGTGTCTATTTTCTTCGTCAAATGCCCTAGATCTGGTCATAATCGAGCAGTTGACCAACGAGGTCTATATGGTCCAGCCTCCGGACATTGATCACCCGGAAAGGGGCATTGCTGAGGGCAAGGGCCGAGTTTGATCGGGCGAGGGTGAATACATGGGCTTTCTCAGCCAGGCAGTCAATGAGACGCGACTGGCACTCGGGTTCCGACAGCTCGGCAATGTCCGTCGCGCCAGCTAGCCACAGGAGGGGCTGGTCCGGGGCGGAGAGGGGGAGGGGGGGGGAGGGGGGTGTCAGAAAGCTGGGAAGGATTTGAACTCGCGCGTAAATGCCCCCGCCCTGAAAAAGAGGAGAGGCGACTTACCTTCGTTGTCAGGGTGACAACCTGAGTGGCAGAGCCATCAAGCAACTGCACATCGAGCTCAGCCGCGTTGGACTCATTCACCAGTCGCAAGCGACCGATGACGGTGATGACCACAGCATGAACTTCCGGTTGGGAGGAGCTGGTCACCTCGGCCGCACATTCAAGCGGAATGGGAGCCGGGCGGCTGATCGCAAGTGAATAATCATCCCGGAGGGGCTGCATCAGGTGCATGGGCTTTTGAGAAGCCGCAAGGTGTGGCGAGTCTGTCAGCGGCGAGGAAAGCAAGTCCACCACGGTTGCTGCTGGCGGATGCATCGCCCTGCCAGGAGTGGATGGAACGACAGCTGGGCTGGATACGCCGCGGGCCGGGGTTGATGGGACATTGGTCGGATTCGGCGGGACAGCGCTCCTCGACGCGGCAGGAGCCGCCCCTCGGGCAAAGGGTGCGGTGGAGTCCAGCTCCACCATCGTATCCACCTGTGGGATGGCCGAATGAACGATGGGCACTTCTTTGACGCCAGCAGCGACTCGACGCTTGCTGGAGGGCAGGAGAGCAGCGGACACCGGCACTTGGGGTCAGCTCGATGAGGTGCAGCGGGGGGAGAGGGGGGAGAAGAAAGGGAGGAAAGAAAGATGCTCCACCGTTTCCACCTGCATGGCCGGATGTGGATGTGCGCACTTGAGTTCGGCCTCGGTTCTTTGGATGAAGAGCACATCCTCCGAGGGAGTTTTGGTTGTCGGCTGGAAGGGCGGGATGTAGAGAACCCGCATGGAGGTGGGCTCCACGAGCAACAGGCAATTTGGCTCGGACAATTGGGCGTCCACAGTGAGGGGCGAGTGAAAAGTCCCAGCACTGAAGGACAGAGCGGGGGCGCGCTTGCGTGTGGCCTTGCCAGCGCCCCCCGGGGGGGCTGTCGGAGGTGGCACCCGGGGCTTCCGGTTCCGGTGGGTCCGGTGAACATACTGACCGCCATCGGGGTGGAAGGGACAAATGCAAAGGGGATTTTGGATGAGGACCTTGGATCCCGGGCGAAGGGTCACCGCTCGGACGCCAGCAACCGGGGCCAGCTCCATGGCCGCCAGGCGCAGAGTGCCAGCCGACAGGAGCAGCCGGTGCGTGGACTGGCCCACATACTCCTTGGGATTGTCATCCGGCCGGGACGATGGGCCATCAGCAGGGGGGCCGTCGCCTTCAACAACCTCGGCGGCGGCTGCCCCGCCAGGTCGCCTGCCAAGCCGCCCTGGGGTGTCTTCATCCTCGTCGTCTGATGAGCCCTGGCCACCGAGACCCTCGATCCAGCGAACTGCACGTCGCATGGGGAGTGTCAGTATGAGCAGGGGGAGGGTGCGGTAGAATGATCTGCTTTCATACCCTCCTTCGATAGCCGGGAATCGATGCGATCCACTTGCTGCACCAAGGACGAGGAGATGTCATCACAGCGGAGGACCTCCAAAAGGAAGGTCCCGGGCAGGACGGACCCCCGACCGGGATGGGGGGTTCCAGCCGGCCGTGAAGCAGCATTTATTCCATTCAATGCCTCGGTCAGGCGCCGATCTTGGGCCGAGCCGATGGTCTTGGCCAGGGGTTCGGCGAGCAGGCTCCGAGCAAGGTGCAGGGCCCCCGATGCACCACGGGGATTGGACCTCCGGGCGCTGGCGGACCATGAATCAATCGGCCACCGGGGACCGCGAATGCTCGAATCCGGCGAATGGAAGCCAAACAGACCGAGAGACTTCTGAAAGGCGGCCCCGGTGGTGTCGACCGAGGATCCTTGCTCGGGGGGCTGCGAGGCGACACTCGCGATCCAGGCCGGAGATGGCTGATCTGACAGACGAAGGCCCTCCGCCAGGAAGGCTGAGAACAGCTGAGTCGCGTCGCCCATCACCAGAGTGATGGCTTTCGCGAGGCCTTTGGAGGAGGTCAAAGGAGTGGGGAGGGGGGGAGAAGGGGGGAAGACGAGGGACGCGGCGGAAGGAGGTTGTGGGGAACAAGGGGCGGGGGAGGGAACGAGGGAGCACTTTCCTGCGCTTCTGAGGGGGCAAGTCTCGGGGGGGTGGGTTCCCCATTGATGGGGGGGAAGGGGGGGGGGGGCCGGTGGCGCGATCGTCTCGGCTGGACATCCGCCGACCGGAGGCCTCGATGGCGTGGGCACCTGCAGCCGATGTCCCTCCCTCCTTGGGCCGGCGCGATCCCTCAACTGCCGATGTACCGGCGGTCTCGTTCATCGCCGAGGGGTACCCCCCGTGAAGGCTTCTGCGCTGGCTACGGCCGAGCCCCGTCCGCTCTGGGTCGGAGACAGTGGGCCGGCTCTCGGGGCCCGGCTCGGTTCGGTGGGCTAGCGAGTTGCCGGCCGGCGTGGAAACCATCATGCTCATCCTTGAGTGACCGGCCCCGGGGCCTGGTGCTTCCTCGGCGCGCCAGCCAAACGCCCGCGCCCGCCCGCCTGTATAATCCACACGCACACCAGACGAGCGCGAGCACGCACGCACGCCGGACACCACCCCATCCTCCACCTGTTTCTCCTTCCTTCTTTCCCTCCCTCTATCGCCTTCCCCCTCTCTCTCCCCTCCCTCTATCGCCTTCCCCCTCTCTCTTCCCGGTCTCTCGCCTCGCCAACGCCCTTGCCTACAAGCCCGGACCATGTCCCTCCTGCCGGGTCCTCTTGGCCAAACATCCGGCGGCCGGCAGACTGCTCGGCTGTATAGCCCTCCGGGTCCGCGGGAGCCCGGATCCCCGGTGCCAGTGGTCCAGCTCTTTGCCAAGCCGGCCGACCTGGATGCTCTGGCCGAGCATGTTCGCCGGTGTCCAAGCGATCGCTCCGCCGCCCTGGAGCAGCTTCGGTTGCTGTTGGACTCGAGCTTTTTCGGCCGGCGAAACCCCTCCTCCTCGCAGTCCTCCGACCTGTCTTCCAGCCCTGCCGGGCAGCTGGCCATCCCGGATGTGCAACCGCGCGACATGCAGCCCACACCCTCCGGGGTGCCAACTCGCATGCAGCAGCTCCTGCTTCGTTTCGCAGCGCGAGTGCGTCCCCCCCCCCCCCCCTGAGTCTCTCTCTCTCTCTCTCTCCCTCGTTGCTTAAACAGCCCCTTCTTTCGTGAGCCCCCCTCCCCTTCGTGTCTGACATGCTGTCCCTTTCCCCTGCCGCGCATTTTCTTTCTTCCTTCCTCTCTATCTCTCTGCCTGCCTCTCCGCCGGTTCCTGCCTCTCTTCGACTCCCCATCGGAAAGCTCGTTCTCTTGACGCCGCTGTCACTGGCGGAAATCGAGGCGGCCGGCCCGGACGTCGCTCAATACCATGTGATGCGAGAGCTGCTGCGGCGCAAGAACCAGGCCGACAGCCTCCAGTCCCCATCTGGGGCGGCCTCGGCCGATGTTCTCCCGGTGGACGGTGCCTTTTGCACGGTGATGGTACTGCGTTGGCTGCTGCGGCACTTCAGCCGGCGCACAGCCAGCCCAGCTGGCAACACGGCCGGAAGTGGAGGCAACACTGCCGCCGGCGGTGGTGGCGGTAGTGGCAGCAGCGCCAGTGTCAGTGGCCTTGCGAGTAGCGGCCCGGGCATCTGGCTCGCGCACCAGGAGGCTGCTCGTCTGGAGCCCCATCCGGCCGTCCCTCCCCCGGGGAGTCTCTTTTCCACCGGGTCGCTTACTTTCCCCGGGAAGGTGGCCATCCTGACCGATCTCGGTTTGCCCGAAAGTCCGGCGCTCTGTATGGATCTGTTGTTTGATCTGCTGACCGGGGTGCGTCCTTGGATTTGCAAGGGCTTTGGTGCTCTCTATCCCTGGTTGCTGTTGCTGTGGGGGTTTCTTTCCTTCCCCCTCGGCCTGCCTGTCCCCTCTCTCAAACCAAGCCTCCCCGCATGCGAATTGACCTCTCCTCTGCTCGCTCGGCCGTCTGCCTCACTGCCCTGTGTCCAGACTCGCCTCGATCGCCACCTCTTCAGCGAGCACTTTGGTGATGAGGTGGCCTTCGAGCGCTTCCGCCTGGCTTCATTCCTGGATCTGCTTCGTGGACTGTTCAGTGAGCTCGCCGCCACTGGTGATCGAAATTTGCTGCCACTGGCTCGTCGGGCAGCGGAGCAGGCTCTGGCCCTGGCCACGCGTCTGCCCGCTGGGCTGGAATGTCCCGACGCATTGTCGGCTCTGACGACTTCCCTGCATCGGGCAGTGGTGGCGCTGGAAAGTGCACCTCTGCCGGCCTCCACTGCTCCATGCTTGGAGGGGGATTTTGTGTCGTCCTTTCCGGAGTTCCGCTGCCCCCTTGCACATGATGGCGATGCTGCCGGCCCGGCATCGGGCTCTCTGGCGGCGGGTCCCTTCTTTGTCAATGACGAAAAGGCCATGGTCGTCGATGCCCAGGAGCCTCGGCCCGCGGAGGAACACTTTGGCCTGTGGTCTGCAGGGGCTCTGCTGCCCTTTTTGCCTCTGCCGGGAGCCGTTCGGGCGCGACTTGGCGCCCGCCGGCCGGGACTCCCACGGATCCTGCGCGACTTGGGGGACTTTTCACCGGAAGAGATGGAGTTCCCGATGCCGGCCCTTCGAGCGGGCAAGGCCACCGCCCGGCAGTCCCGAGCTCGGGGCTCGAAGGAGCCTCTGACGTCTCGGTCTCCCGGGAACAGCACCTCGGCTGACCAAGAGGCCGGCGCTGAGACCGGGCCCACCGGTGTCCCTTCGATCACCCTTCCCCCGGCCCCGGCCCCGGCCCCGGCCCCGGTCTTGCCCTCAGTGCCAGTGCTCCCTCCGGTTCCGATGTTGCCCCCGGCCCCGGTGCCCGTGCCGAGTGAGAGACCCGAGTCTGGGGGTGGCCCGGTGTCGGCCCCGGCCCCGGCCCCGGCCCCGGCCCCGGCCCCGGCCCCGGCGCCCGGCGGTTCGCTCATCGACGCGGCACGCGCCCATGAGGATGGCATTGTCGGAGTCCTACGCCAAGCCGTGCGGGACCCATCGCTGCTGGATCTGCAAACCAAACTCTGCAAGATGTGGACCCTGATCAGCGATCACAATCGCATCCGCAAGGTTCTGGACGTGGTGCAGTACATTGAATTCCTTCAAGCCCTGCTGAATGAGCCCTTCCTTTCCAGCCAAACGGTATTGCCATTCGATTTGCTGGCAGCCGGCGCCTTCCGGGCGGATGCAATTGCTGCTGGACATGCGGCTGGGCTTCCGCAGCTTCCCAGTGCCCCGGGGGCCAACCCATCAGCCGCGGCAGCCGATGGTGGTGAAGCCACCGGCGGATCGCCCCCCGGCCAGTCGGCCACCGGTTCCGGCTCGACTCCCGGGTCGCCAGCCACGACGGTCACATCGGTCGATGCTGACGCCCTCGCGCGGTATGTCCAATTTGTGGATACCTTCCGCCAGGAGTCGCCGGTGACTCGGCGCCGGAGGCGCATGCGTCTTGGCTTTGCCGTGGTCGAGCAGCTGCCTCAGCGCGTGGTCAAGCACATTTGCATGGTGCTTCCCTTCCCCCCGCCGCGGGTGTATGTGCGTCCTTCTCTCGGCATGCCCATGTGCTTGGGCTTCCCTGTTGGCGCCCCCCCCCCCCCCCCCCCTCCCCCCTGGCCCCAAGTCGACATGGGCCCTTTTAGATGCACATGTGGCGATGCCCCGCGCCTTGCCCTCCCCTCTCCCCCTCCGCCACATGTCACTGACACTCTTCCATCCTGAAAGGCTGATCTACTGGCTCTCTCTTGTGGCCGCGCAGCAAGTATGATTGCTGCCTCTCTTGTGGAATTGCGGCCGCCGACGCGGCAGCTTCTGCCGGAGAGTGAACCCGGTGCCGGGGCGCTGGCCGAAATTCTTGGCGGCATGCGGGACCTCCGAAGCATCCTGGCCCGTCTAAACCAAACCCTCGCTCCTCCTGCGGGTGGTCCAGCCGAAAGCCCCGCGCGGCCCGTTTTTGCCCAGTGGTTCTTGCTGGCAACAGCCAGGTGGGTCCGCCAGCGTGACCATCAGCCGGCGTGTCGCGTGCCGCGCTTTGATGCACTGGATCGTGTGGTGACCGCGGCCGGGGCCCTTCGCAGTGGGGTGTCCCCGGCTGCGGCTACGGCTGCGGCTGCGGCTGCGGCTGCGTCTCCGACCGACCCGCAGGATCCGGAGATGTCCTTGATTTTGGCCGCCGAGGAGGCATCTGCCTCGAGTGGCGGGTTCTTCCCGGTGGTGGATGGTCTCCGGGCAATTGCCCACAGCCTCCTTCGATGGCTGGTTTTCCAGCTGGATGACTTCCCGGCTGCCGTGCTGGAGCGCGCTCTTCCGGCGGACCGGCGTCTGGTGGCCGAGGCTTCCACCGGCCCGGTGGGCACCGACACCGGGGCGCTTCCCCTGTTGGCGGGGCTTGGCCTGCTGTCCGAGCGACTGCCCGCGCCATTGGCCCCGAGCGAGGCCACTCTGGGGCGTTTGCGCGGTCGGCGTCTCTTCCTCGTGGCACAGCCGCTGCTCGAGTCTCTGGATCCGCGCGTGGGGCTGGTTTTCTGGATGCTCCTTTGCTCGCTGTGCAGCCGGACTGCCTTTGAGACGCGGCGTCTGGCCACCGGTCGCGTGTCCGGGTCATCGCCCGGGGCCGGGGCCGCGGGCGCTGGCGGCTGTGTTTCCCCGGGTGCCGGGGGCCTTGCCGAGTTGCTCGGTGGCCGGGGCCGGCATCGGTTGGACACCTTCACCGATCCGGCTGCCTCATGTGGTTCCTTGTCGGTCCTCTGCTTGGATCTGGAGCAACTGCGTGAATCCGGTGACCCACTTGACCCGGCTGCCATGGTGCCAGATGTGCCCGGCTTGCGTGGGTGTTCGACTCTTCTTCATCGAGTTGGTCGGTTTGCCGACCGGCAGCTGGCCGCTTCGCTGGCGGTGAGACCGCTTGTCGCAGTGCGTTTGACCAACGATTGCGTGGTCTTTTGTCCCTGTCTGAGGGACGGGGCGAGGAGGATATCCCTCTCTCTCTCTCTCTCTCTCTCTCTCTCTCTCTCTCGAGGCTGACCATTTTCATCTTCAAACTCCCGATCGCCTTCGAGCAGGTTGATGCACTGGCGCATTTCATCGTGGACGCGGGTCGGTATTGGCTCGTTCCGGCCCTTCAGGCACTCCACCAGGCTCGCCCCATGCCACCCCGGCCACGCTCCCTTGGCCTGTCGTTTGACACCGAGCTGCAATTGGCCTTCTCAGCCGCTTACATGGAGCTCTATCACCAGACTGGCCAATCGGCCGAGGTGATCCGGTATGGCGAATTCCCCCTCCCCCTCCTGCCCCGTGCCCCCTCCCGCCCCCCTCCCCTCTCTTCATCGTGCACTCACCGGTATGCTGCTTTGCGCCATGCTAACCTGTCCAATGAAGCACCTTCGCCAACTCCGGGATTGGGGACGTTCTGCTGGCCGACGCGATTGGCATCGGTCCAGGTGCCACACGAGTAGCCCTGCCGCAGATTGATGCTCTGTTGGAGGATATCTGCCCGGATGCAAGCGCCGGCTTCGCCGCACTGGCAGCCCTGCGTCGGCGCCAGGTGGCCGAAGTTGCCGGCCCCGGCGCGCCGGCCGCCCCAGTGTACGGGTCGATTCGCCAATTGCTGGATGAGGGTCTTTCGCTGTTGGCTCGGCGGGCCGTGCGTAGCCTCGTCGAAGCATCCCCCTTCGCTGGGGAATTGAACCGGCCCCAGGGGGCTTGTGCAGCTGCCTTGGCCGCAGTCACTCCCCTGCCTGGGGACCATCCCCTGGCCGCGGCATCGCTGCTGGACCTGCAGCCGGCCGCCGGTGCGGTGGTCTATGCCCCGGGGCTGCTGGGCCCGGATTTGGGCGACACGGCCTTCCGGGCTGAGCCTGGCTCCTCGTTGGCTCGGTATGGGCCAAATTCCGGTCCCCTGCCGGCGCCTGTGGCCCAATCCGAGGAGCGTCTTCTGTTGCTGGTCGCCAGCGAGGCACTGGCACCGCGCTTGGCGGCGACACACGAGTTCCATGTGCTCTTGATTCATCGTCTCGTGGTGGCTCTGGTCGCGGAACGGCGTGCGTGTGCCCTCCTGCCCATCTCTCCCTCGGTCTTTCTCTCTCTCTCTCTCTCCCTGCCTTTGTCTCTGTGTCCTGGTGACAGGCATCCGATGCATTTACTGACTCCCTGTCGGCCTGGTGGGTGTGTTTGCAGGGCATGCGGTTGCGGCACTCGTCTGCCAGCTGATTCCGCTGGAGTTCGGCCACCTCTTCCATCCGATCCTCGAGGCGGCACCCGCAGCCGTGGCCCGGTTTTCGGATTTACTGGCTGGCCCGAACTTTCTCCGACCCAGCCTCGGTCACTCGCTCGAGGAGCTTATCCATTTCTCGTGGGAGCCACGCTTGCTGCAGTCCCTGGCAGGTGCGCTGTTGCTTCGCTGCCCCTCTCGTCTCCCTGCCGGCCCTTCCCCTGTCTTGCGATCATCTTGTGCGAGCGGCCCCTTTGCCCTTGACTGACCTTCTCTCTCTCTCTCTCTCCTCCTCCCACTCCTGATCCCGATATCGCCGTTAGGCATCATCAAGCACCAGGGCCCAGCCGGATCGACTCACCCATCCTTCACACGTGTGTCCGAGGCAATCGCTCGCCGGCCGGTGCTCATCCCCCAACACCGAAAGGCCCTGTTGGCTGGAGAGCTCCTGCGGACCATTTGCTCGTCCTCCCGCGTCCGAGATCAGCTCTCCGGGCAGCTTGTCGCTCGACAGCAGCTTGTCGATGGATTTGAGACGGCACCCAAGCATGAGCTTGCCTTCCTTGCCTGGGATTAACCCCCCCCCCCCCCCGCCCTGGGAAGGTCGCCTGGGGGGAGGGGTTTGGCGCCCGGGGACCCTGCCTTTGACACATGCAATAGACTTCCACATCCCTGGTTTGGCACTCAGATCGGATTTCGAGGGAGCACATTCAATGTGGGTTGTGTGAGTGTTTTTTTTTTGCACCCCAAAGAGGAGGAGGCAGAGGAGGGGGAAGGGGAGAAGAGGGGAAAAGACACGGGAAAGGAGGTGGCGCGCCGCCCCTTACGGGGCCAGATGGTCAACACGGCGAGCACGGAGCCGGAGCTGAGGCGTGACATCCTTGCTGTCATCATCATCGCCATCCACAGGGGCAGGGCTTAGCCAAACCTCCAGCTCAATGGCGTGCGCGTTCTCCTCCCCCGGGGGGAGAAGTAGCACACCATGCTTCAGCCAATGGGCAGCCTCGGCAAGTGGGGAATCATCAGCCCGGGGCTCCCCGGGGCCGGCATACCGAATGGAGAAAACAATGGAATCGGCCAGATGCCTGTCCGAGGGGCTTTTGCAACGAAGCAGGGCTCGAGCTACGAGAGTGGCACCAGTCCCTGGCGCTGGCAGCGCGTCGGCGGAAAAGTCGACCCTCCAGACGGCCGGATTTGGGCAAGTGTCTCCCAAATCGGCTTGGGTATCCAGCAGCCGGTGGGGATATTGCCCAAGGGCATATGCCTCGCAGAGGGAGGACCAGCCATCACCTTGCACGACCGCAGCCGAGTCGAGCGACCCGGTGACCGAGGAAAAGTGCGCCAAATCCAAAGCAAGGGGGGCTGGCCGGGAGCTCGACCGGCCCCAAGGCGTCTCATGGAGAGACCAATCGACGAGCAGCGGCCGGGGCAGGGGTGCATGCGCCTGCCACAGCTCCGGCAGAGCGGCCAGCTGCGCATGCAGGGAAAAGCCTCCGGGCGCCAGATTGGCAATGCCGGCGTCAAGCGCCTGTCGGGCCATGCCCCAAGCGCCGAGTGCCTCGAGCCAGGGCAGCTGCCCCTGGCACGCGCCGAGGAAAGGCTCCTGCAGGAAGACATCCCAAGGGGCCGCGTGGGGGGCATTCGAGAGGGCACAGTGCGGGAGCAGACGCACAGTCAGCGCCCCCGGGGGATGCCCATCAGCCAGGACATCTCCCGGCCAGGATCCCAGTCGCCCGGCCACAATGTGCACATCGGGGAAGGCCGCGGCGAGGGCCGTCTCGGTGGCCGCCACCGGACTGGAGCTTAGGTGACTGATGAAGATGACCCCTGCGAAGTCCTGCTCAAGGGCCGCGGCCACAATCACCAAAGGCAGGGCATGGTCATCTGCGCGCACGAGAACACGTCGAGAGCCACCGAGCCCGGGGGATGTCGCCCGGTCAAGAGCCCATCCCGCTGCCCGGCGCTGTGGCAGCCAATACCCCGGCCCGAGATTCAGTTGGGCAATGCGCTCACGCGACAGGCGATGGTGCAGCCGGCAGTGGCAACTCCCCGGGCCGGCGGGCGGGAAGTCCGAGGCAGGAGCCGGGTCGGCGCCGGGCCGAGCATCTGCCCACATGGCCCAGGCATTATGCCACACGCCGAGAGTCACCGAGGTGGGCGCTTCGTCCCCCGCAAGGGGAAACGGCCGGGCCAGAGGGCAAAGGATCTGTGTCCAGTGATCACGCCAGGGGTACGGCCCGGCAGCCAGGGCATCTGGACAGCCGGAGGCTGCCCATTCGGGGGCGGTGCTGATGCGCAACGGCCGGAAGGCATGCTCACACCCACGCTGTAGCTGCTCGCTGGCAGGGCACCCACACTGCTCCGAGATGAAGGCCGCATCGTCGTCGGCCAAGTGCCCGGCCATGGATGGCTCATTGTCGGCCGGGATGGGGATGGAGTCGGGAAGGAAGAGGTCGGCCGTCCACCACACAAGCAGAGCCTCGGCCACGGGGGGACCACCGCCGGTGCCGGGGGTCCGAGGCAGGAGAGGGACGCAAGCGGATCGACTAAACTCCGGCTCATCGCCGCAGTCATCCTCGCTGTCATAGCCATCGGTCGTATCACCGGTGTCGGTTTGGCTCGCCCAGGCATCGGCCTCGCTGTCACTGCCATCGATGTCACGGTACAGGGGGGCGGGATGCTCGGCCCCCGGGCACTCGCCGAACCACGGGCGCTCGGGATGCTCGCGCAGGTCAAAGCTCAACGCTCGCCAGGGCAGGGTCAGTGGCTGGATCTTGCCCTTCATGGATGGGGAGTTGACCTGCACGGAGAGGGGCACCGGGAGGGCGTGGCAGGGAATGGCCGACCCGTGAGCCGGCAAGGTGGGCGACTGAAAGTGCAGTGTCTCGCCGGCCGGGCCGACGCCCACCTGCGCGCCGGCACACGAGAAGGAGGCCGACACCGAGGGGGCCACGGCCACCAACTGCATGTAGAGGGTTGCCCGAGCTGGGACCACAGGCGCGCCGGGCTTGAGCAAGCCCCGCCGGCGAGCATCCCGCACAACGGCCAGCAACCCCTCGCCGACCATCTCATTGTCCAGGAGTTCGGTCACCAGAAGGTCGGCTGGGCCGCCGAGATGTCTGTCTGATGTGGCACAGCAGAGATGGAGTTAGAGGGGCGAGTTGCTTGGGCCATGTCCCGGCTTTTTGTCGGCCCACTTTGCGCATTCAAACGGGCCCACACTGGGCCACATCGTACTGGGTAGCAATGAGGTGCTCCTCTTGGCAAGCACCCGCACCGGGGCCGGGTGCCTCGAGCCGGACGTGCAGCTGGCCTCGCCCGGGGGGTTGTCACGGACCACTCTCTGGGCAGCCGCAGCCACGAGGGGCACCGCTTCGCAAGCAACTACCTCACTCACAACCCCCGGAGGAGCCACTCGGGCCGCCAGCAAGGCCAGTAGCCCGCTGCCTGTGCCGATGTCCAGCACTTTCAGACCGCCCGCTGGACGTCGGTCCGGTTGGAGGTGAAGCTGCTCAAGGGACAGCCGCAGGCCCCGGGCAAAGGCGGCATTTCGCTCAAAGTCCAGGACCATCGACGCGTGCAGGGAATCCGCGACCGCCTCCGAGGAGTCCATATGGCCGATGGTGGTGGGAGGGTCGGAGGGCGGTGCCAGCATGGGGGGGCCATGCCGCGCCACCACTGCCGCCTCAGACGGTGCCATCATTCCGAACGTCGACAGATGCCCAAGGGAAGGGAGTGGCCAAGGTGTGAGGCAAAAGGAGGGGACTTCAAGGAATAGGGGGGGGGGGGAGGGGGCGGGGGGTATGGAGCCAAGTTGCATGCGCGGGACCCAACACCAGGGCCCATAAATAAATGCCCACCGCCGTCATCATCACGACCCTGCGCGGTTCCCTGGCCGCCCCCCGTATATTGTGCCCGAGAGAGCGTGAGAGAGCGAGAGAGCGAGGGAGGAAAATGTCCACGTCTTTTTTATCTATTTCAGCGGGTGGGAGAGGTATATACTTCGGCTGAAGGGAAATGCGTGCGGAAGGCGCGCAAAGTAGCACATGTATGCATGGTCGAGGGGGAGCACATGCCAGGGGGTTGGGGGGGACGAAGATAATGATACAAGGAGGCTGGCCCGCACGCGGACATCATGCAAAAACAGACATGCACCTGTTTGCACCTTCGCACAAATGGCAAACGGGGGGGGGGGGGATTGAGAGCCGGCGGATCGCACCTGTTTCCTCTCAGTTCCTCTCTCTCTCTCTCTCTTTCTCCCGGCGCTCCGACGTCCAGGTCCCGCGTGCCCCGCGGCTGATGGCGGGAGCATGTACTCCGTTGGCAACTGAAATGGCTGGATGTTCCCACGCGTCGGGGATCTCCTCGGGTACCATGATGGGCTTGAGGGCGCGGGAGGGGGGGGGGGGGGGGGGGGGGGGGGAGAGGGAGAGAAAGCTGGAGGGAGAGGGCCTTCTAAGCCGTGTGTCTTCTCTCTCTCTCTCACACACACACACACAGCTGGCCTCACAAAGCACAGAGCCGCCCTCCAGAGGATACCCCGGGAGGGGAAGGCCAGGCCTGCCTATGGCTCAGGGAGTCCCAGAGCCAGTCCGAGGAGGAAGTCGAGTGCCTGGGGAGACCACACGCGCGGTGTAGGTCCCCATGGAGGTGGCCTCCTTGCGGGGCTGGAGGACGGGCTCCTGGTCTGTCTCGTAGGCCCCGGCCACGGTTTCCGACATAGTAAGCGGGAAGGGGCTTGTTTTTTTTTTGATTCGACAATGCGCGCAAGTAAGGAGAATGGGATTGCAGGTCGGTCAGGGAGGGGCCGGGAAAGGGCGCGTGCATGAAGCCGGCATGGGCATAAGTGTATGTGCATGCGTGCGGCGTGCGGGTATGTGGATCGAAGAAGAGGCGCGAGGCAGGGCGCATGCAGGAGGTGGAAGACATACTTCGTCGTCGGCAGCGTTGCCATGACCTTCTCGCCCAGAACCGAGCTGTGAAGGCGGATGGGCGACGGTGGCGGGGCGGCCATGAGCAGCTCGCGCGCAATGCGGTGGAACTGCGGGAGGTATCTTTTTTTTTTTTTTTTTTTTTTTGCGCCGGCGGGAAATGGGGCCGCACGAAAGCATGGTGAGAAAGAGGCTTGACACGAGGCGAGATTAATCGGCACCGGTGAGGAGGTTCTCAAGGGCGGACGCACTCCAGAAGGTAGACCTGCTGTGGACCGACCACAGACCCTGGGCGCATGAGGCGGAGGTAGCCGATCGCCGACATGGGCCCGGGGAATCCCGCAAAGGCCAGCATCGAGGCGCAGATGAGCGTTCCCGTGCGGCCGAGACCGGCCATGCAGTGAAGGGCAATGCTGCCATCTACATGAGTGGCCGCACAAGAGGGCAAAATGGGGGATTGCCCCGGTAGCAGGGACCAAAGGGAAGGGCCAAGGAGGGCACACGGGTCAGTGAAAGGGCCAGCGGGGGCATTTCCCCATCAATGGAGGAGGGGATGGTTGCACGCACTGCGAGAGTACTCTCGAAGAACCAGGGCCAAGAACTGCTGGAGCACGACATCCGGAGGGTTGTGCCCGTCGGGGTAGATCATGTCAAAGTGATCGAAGCCCTGGTGTTGGAAGTAAGCGCGGTCATAATTGGCGTTGTTCAAACGGACAACCGTGGAAATGCCTTGGGACTTGAAGGGGTCCACATAAATGGCTGGCCGGAGGGGGGAGGGGGCAGCGGCAGCGACGGTCAAGTCGGGGAGGAGGATTGGTGAGAATGCGAAGGACGACGAAGGGAGGGGGGAGAGGAAAGAACCAACACCGCCCCCCGGGGGGAGGGGGGCAAGTTTGCCCTCGCCCCAGGTGCACACGCACATGGATGCTGATGAGGAACGGCCAGGTCCGGGCCAGCGAAGGCCAAGAGGCCGCAGCAGCGATCTTCAACCTGAGCCGCGGTCGACTTGACCGGGGAAAGCTTGCCCTGTTGAATGAGACGCTGCCGAGTGGCCAGCGTCTTGCGCCGGGCCTCCGGAGGCGGAACAACCCAGTTCCAGTCACCCTGATTGGGGTGGTCACGGAAGAGGTACTCCTGCACGCTGAAGGTGGAAAGATCGAACCACCTGGACAAAAGAGACGGAGCATACCGAGCCCGAGGGGAGGAAGCGGGGGGGGGGGGGAGAGAAGAGCGAGAGCGAGAGCGAGAGCGAGAGAGAGAGAGAGAGAGAGAGAGAGAGAGAGTAAGGGACGGGCCAGGAGGTAAGGGGAGGAAGGGCGAAAGAAGAGGCAGAGGCACTCAAGGGAAAGTCGGAGATCCCTCCCTCCATGCGGAGGAGGGGGAAGGGAGGGCATGTAGGCGGGTGAGATGAGATTTGCTCGCACCCGAGGTCGCGTGCGTGAATCAACCCAGCAAGGCAGTCACGCGGGGAGAGATTGGCAAAAGTGGCCGGCGGGGTCCAGTAGGAGGGGTCGCGGAAGAGCTTCAGTTGCCCATTCGGCTGTGACCGCATGCACTCATTGACATAACGGTCGATGGCGGTCCACTGAGCATCATGGAAGAGGGTCTGTGCCGGCACATGGCGCCGGCAGCACATTGGGTCCGTCGCACCCGCCCGGGAAGGGGGGAGATCGCCGGGGAGACGTGTCGTCAGTGGAAGAGGCGGAGAAAAGGTGAGGAGGAAAAAAAAAAGGACGATCACGCCCTTCCCTTCGGCCCCGGCAGATGTCCACATACCACGTATGCTCCCAGAAGGACGACAGCATTGGAGCAGTCCTCCTGGGACTCCTGGTCACAGATCAGCACAATGAGCTGAGCATGGAAGGCCCACCCGGGGAGTGGAGGAAGCACAGAAGAAGCCGGGAATGGAGGGAGGGATTTCTTGGTCAGCATTTGATCAGGAGGCGGAAAGGCGGGCACAGCATGGGGAGCCACACTTACATCCGGTGCCTGGGACAGGGTGGAGATATGCTGCTTGATAAAGTGGCCCAGGCGGACGCTCTGGGCAATGTTGAGGGGCCCGAAGTCCAGCAGGAAGCTGGTGTACGGCGTGACAACATGTCCCATGGACACCAGCAGAGCCGAGGCGTTGGTGGAGGAAGAGGCATGGTCGCGTGGGCTTGATGGCCGGCGCTGGGCGGCCGCGGGCGGAACATCAGGGCCCGGCAGGAAAGTCGAGTCGTAGGGGAGCGACAGCTTGTGGCAGTCATCAAGCAGGTGATAGGGGGCAAACCAAAGGCCCACCTGTGGCCCACCCTGGGGGTGTGGCAAGAGCACCACCTCGTTAAGGAGGGCTGATGCAATGATGCTCAGGTCATGGCGGGAAGTTGGGGTCATCGCACGGGAAGTGGGGG